TATTTGTTTAAAGTTTATAATACAACCCCAAAAAAACCGAATTCAGCTATGCGTAAAGTAGCAAAAGTCCATTTATCTAGTAGGTATACGATAATTACATATATTCCGGGTATAGGACATACTTTACAAGAGCATTCAATTGTATTAATTAGAGGTGGTCGGGTAAAAGATTTACCTGGAGTAAAATATCATGTAATTCGAGGTAAATATGATTTATTGGGTATTTATTCACGCAAAGTTCTTCTTGTGCATTCGCGAGTAGAATCTGCACCAGCACGAGTCGCGCTTCTCCTGCTTGCATTGAAAAAGACCCTTTCTCAAACTCGTCAACCGCCTGTCGTGCATATCGCGATGATTCCTTTTTGCCTACACCAGTAGATAACTGTGAGAGCTGCGCAGAGAGATGGAAGAAGAATCCACGATACGGAAACTTTGAGTTGGGTACGGGAAGCATACTCAGATCAATGGTCACATCTCCACCACCTTGGCCTCCTCTGGCCTTCGTCAGCAGAGCCACACACGCCTCAAATGCTTTCTGACAGGGTGGTCTTGCCACGGCTGCGCCAAACATACGAAGGTCGTGCCGCAACGTTTTATCGCGAGTCAGATCTCCAGTCTCAATCACTGCGTTTGCACGCTCTTGAAGTGACTTAATCTGACGCAGAGAGTGAGTAATAAAATTCTTTTCAGCGGCATCGATCGCGGCTCTTTTGGTTACGCGACCATAGCGACGGAGTCCACGGATCGGCTTCTTACAGTTCGGACACTGAGGTGTATCGATATACCCCCTAGGAAGCGGACCAACAGGTTTCCCATTGCTGTCGTAGTACGTGCTCATTTCAAGTGTGCCATCAAGTGTAGCCATCGTGTAGACCATTGAACAGCACGGAAGGACCAGAACAGGGTCTTCTGACGGATCAATTTCTCCATATGTCTGGAAGAGAATCACGTCAGCCACACGTTGTTTCACGTCGTCATCCCCACAGATATGACAAAACTCGCGTGAAGGGCAGTCTTCTCCGCAGACACTTGGACACTGGTGACCACATGTGAGCGCCTTCGTGCATCGAAGATCGCATAGACGCCGGTTGCATGGAGCGCCACAGGGTAGAGAGCATTCTCCACTGTGCTTGCAGCTCCAACTGCACCGTTCAGTACATGCAGCACACGGATCACTGCACGGATGATTGCAAGACCCATGTTCGCAGCTGAACACGTCACATATACCTTGACATGGTGGGCAGAGCGCTGCTCCATGGCAAATTCCTCGACATCTGTGGCAGCACGGCAGCATTCGCTCACACATTTTTGGCCCCGCCCCGTTTTCAGGGGTTTAATTGGGTAATTCCGTTTCAGGTTTTCCTCCCAGGAACTTTTAGGGTTTTGGCCAACACGTCCCTTACCTTTGGCGAGACCAGGGGTGGCCACGAGGAAGTAACGGCCCCGCATTTAAGCGTGCCATTGGACCCTGGTTATTGTTAACAGTTAAACCGCTGGCAGGTTTCCACCCTTTCCGGAACGAGAGTTGTTCCACGGGAGCTTTGCACTTCAGCTTTGAGGGCATCTTGGCCTCAAAGCACCGCGCGTTCCTGTAAGTGTGGCCACAAGGAAGAGCAATCGAGCCCACCAGCACTTCGCATCGTCCACATGCGTCACCGCAGACGCCAGGACACACGTGTCCGCAACCTTCTTGGAGTCGTGGACATGGCTGTGTGCAGTAGACAGCTCTGTGAGACGGTTGATCCACGTGACATAACTTCGGACACGCGTGTCCACAACGTGGTAATCTTCTTCCACAAGGACGTAAACAGCCTCCATCGGGGGCTAGCAAAGCAAATGAGGACGGGTTCGCCGCGATACGTTGGTAGTCTGGGTGTTGTTGGCAGTGTAAGGGCAGCCCTTTGCCATAGCAGCCATCGCTTTGCAGTTGGTCGAGCACTTTTTGCCACAGTGGAGACTTTGCACGTAGCAACTCGCCATGACCCACAAGGATCAATCCATGCTTCATTCGGGAGAGAAGGAGCGTAAATTTCGTTTGGGAGTTTTTCAGAAATTCCAATCCTTCCTTCGGGCGGGAACTTTCGTGTGGCTACGCACCGGACTCGCCCACAAAAAACAGCCGGTGGTTTCTTCCCCTTGAAAATTGTCGATAGTAGCGGCACGAATAGCACCGGATAGCTCCTTCTTAGTCGCTCCTAAGGCAGCAGAGCTATCGTGTCCAGTCTCCTCCGTGTCGTCGTCTTCGTCATCGTCAAAAGTGCGTTGAATTTCCTCCAAATCGAGTTCGTTCAGCTCTAATATAAACTGCCCTCGCAAAGCAGATCGAAGCTTCATGAGCTGACCGACATAAGGCGTGAGGATCGCAATATCACTGGTATGGTAGCCTTGTTGCAGTAGATATCTCAGAGCTGCAACGAGGTATGCAACTTCATATTCATTGGAATGAAATCTCGGGCGTGGTTTCTACAGCAGGGTCTATCTCTGTCAAAGCTGCTCCACAAGCCTCCGAGTCCTCGAAGCCGGCTCCGACTATTCCAACGATTCCCGTACCAAGTGTGTCCTCGGCGGATTATTCCATGGAGATTGACGACGATGGTAATGATGATGATAGTGGAGACGACGATGATCACGTTGAACCTTCGGTGGATGTTCGAGCTGTTTATACTAGTGGAGGCGGTGATGTTCCACCACCTACCGAGCATTCAAGCCCAACTGACGACGATGACGGAGAAGATTCTGATGGTAATTGCAGCAATCTTGGTCCTGCTCGGCCGAGGAGGAGTCGGAGTCCGAATCCTTCGCCTACGGCGACCTCTCTTATCATACTGCGTGTTCCATCTCCTCCTTTATCGCCAACGTCACATGCGAAACCTTCTCCCTCTATTGCTCAGGTGCCTCTCCGTACGTCTTCTCGAACCCTTGATGCTAGGCCTGGGCGCAAGATTACGGCTACATACACTGCGTCGCGGCACACCGACGGTTGAGCCGTTGCCTCACCTCGTGCTGCCTGAAGCTCGTCCGACCGTGCCGGCTTCGTCCACCCTAGGTGCTTCCGTATCTGGACATGGAGTTTGCCGACGCAGCTGC